AAGAGGGCAGGTATTGAATGGAGCACTGGGTGTTATACGCAAACAATGAATCATGGGACACTACGTCAAAAACTGATGATGTAATATATGGTGATTAACATATAAAATAAAATTAAAAAAAAATTTAATGTGCTTTGGGGTGCCTGGGTGGCTCAGTCAGTGAAGCATCCAACTCTTGATTTCAGCTCAGGGCTTCATTTCTTGAACTCTGCATTGGGTGCCGAGCCTACTTAAAAAAAAAAAAAAAAGTAAATTTAATGTGCATTATGTGATGCTGGCCTCATTTGGAGGAATGATATAGGAACAACCACATTGTCTATTATTGTCTTGTACCTTAATTCTAGTATAGAATAGAGGGGATCTATTGTGTAGATTATAGCTAGAGGGAATCATTGCTCAGGTTAAAAACCAGAAAAAAAAAGTTGTAGAGGATTTATAGGGGATTTCTCTCTGGGCCACACCTATTCTTAACCTTGTTCTTTGTGTCTTGAGGTTTATCTTCCTTTCTGCTTCCTCAGAGGTAGAGTAAGAGATCAGAAGAGTGGTCTTTGCTTTACATGTGTACCCTATGAATCGTAAATATACAAAGGAAAAAATACTTGAGAGAATAATTGTTAAATCTCTACTCATTGTAAAGGCTAAAACTGTAAATATATTTTATGAAGTTTGAATAAATTCATGGATAGTAATTCTATAAAAAATAAGAGCTTTTGAGGTTGAAGTACAATCATGTCTCAGTGTGTCTTCCTATGAAACTACTATGAAGTAGCTTATTTTAAAAATTTATTGTTGAAGTATAGTTGACATATAATGTTACATTAGTTTCAGATGTACAGCACAGTAATTCAACAATTCTATACTTTTGATGCTACTTTTAGAGACTCAGGATATACTAATACACTTCACTAACACAGAATTTTAAATATTCTAATGTTTTCCTGAGGCATTTTGAGTATTATCTTGTTGGCATTATAATCATTTTAAAATTTAATTCTGAAATATTTTATATTAATAATAGATGAATATGAACGAGAAGAAACTAGGCAAGTATATGTGGATCTAAATAATAACATTGAGGTAAGTGTTAGTAAAAAGTTAAATATTTTAAACAGAGGCATTTTTTTTTAATTTAAATTCAATTAGCCAACAAATAGTACATGATTAGTTTCAGATGTAGTGTTCAACAATCCATCAGTTGTGTATAAGAGCGGCATATCTAAGCAAAGTAGTGATAGCTCTTCTTGATGAAGGGATTATTATTTATTTGTTGACATATGATTATATCCAATAAGATTCTTAAGGTTCTATACTAGGAGTGTTGTTTTGTTATTTAGTAGCTTTTGAATTTACATGTTAGTGACACCATTTAATTTATCAAATATTAACTCTGTGTCAGAGACTAGCATATTATAACATATACCCATTAATTTGAAAAAACATTCAAAATACTATTAATCTGTGTCTGGTTCCTGCTTACCTTTCTTATTCCATCCCTTTTGTTTTCCACTTTGCTTCTCTGCTGTAGTTGTTCTTTTTTATGTTTCTGAAACTTGCTAAGCTCTTTCTGATCTTGGTTCTTTGACTTTGTTCTGTCTAGCACTTTTGTGTCCAAGATTTTATGCAAATTCATAAGCTTCATTCTCCTTTTTTTAATCCCCCTTACTACTTTATCTAAAATACCTTTCTATTCAATTATTTTCTATCTCCTCACCTCATTTAACTTTTCTGAAGAGCACTTAAAACTATATGACATTTATTTGATACACATGTGTATGTGTAAGTATTCTTCCTTACACTGGAATATAAGTTAGTTCTAGTAGGGTAAACACTTTGTCTTATATCTCAAGTGCCTAAAACAGAGGTTGGCACATAATAAGCAGTAACTATTTATTGAACAAATAAGTGAATTCATACAATTTTGCAAATCAAGATTTGTTGAATACTGAATGAACTCATGCTGCCAGATGATGGAAGTGTAATTTAGACTCTACTGGGGAAGGATCTCAGAGAGGTTATACTTTAGTGGGGGAAGACAGAAATTAAATAAGTAAGCAAAAAAAAAAATTATAGATTTTGATATGAGTTATTAAGTAAATGACTAGAGTGCCAACAATCATTTTGCTGTTGTTTAGTATTATATAACATGTCTCCTGTGCCTTTAAGCATCTGGGAAGCCAATATAATAGGCACCTTAATGGGTTTTTAGTAAATTATTTAATTATTACAAGTTATAGGGATTTCATTATTCAAAGTTGAGTGGTTTTAAATCTAATCATGAGACAAATTTATTAATATTTTCATAGTTGGAAGAACCTATTTAAAATATGTAAGTATGATTCTTAAAAGTTGAACTTTATGTTTCAGAAAATGATAATAGCTTTTGAGGAACTTCGTGTGCAAGCTGAGAATTCCAGATTGGAAATGCATTTTAAATGTACGGATCCTATTTAATATTCATATTACCCTACTGATGTTTATATTTTTATTAGATTCTTTTAATGTTTTCACAGCTTCAGTTTGATGCCCCAACTCTTTTAAATTTTGTATTCTTTGTGGTTTTGTAAGCCCCTCAAAATCTTGTGGAATGTGGCAGGGAATTGATATATGTTAAAAATACCCTTTTGGCTTCAAAGCTACATTTTCCCTGAAATCAAACTTACTATGATTTGTACTTAATTTTTTAGAAGTGTGATTTGGTCTTATTTTTACATTTTTTGGTAAGTTTTCATGTTAAAATAATAAGTTGACCCATGAATGACATGGGTTTGGCAGGTCCACTTATATTTAGATTTTTTTCAATAAATACAGCACAGTACTATAAATGTATTTTCTTTATGTTTTTTTTTAAATTTTTTATTGT